AGTACTTCAACGCGATGGAGGACGTCATCATTGAGGCCGCCTCCCAGGACTACATCGACATGCCACAGCCGCGAGGTGCTTCTACGGGGCCAGTCTTCTCGGAGGCCACTATGCGACTCATCAAGATGAAGCATTATTGGCAGTATCAACTGGCCGCTCTCCCTTCGGGCTCGAGATGGCTGACCTTTTTCTTCCACCAGAAGTTCCTCGAGGCGTCCAAGATCTGCACCAAGGCCATCAGGAGTGAGAAGCGGCAGCGTATGGCACATCTTGCAGCACTTGCCGAACGCTCGGCTGGCGAGAACAACCTACGGCGCCTGTTCTCCATCGTGCGCCGTCTCGCACCCAAGCCACCTGCACCCATCATGACCGTCAACGACCCGCAGACAGGCCTCCCATGCTTCGACTCAGAACGTGATAACCAAGTCCGGGTGGCGAGTATCTGTTCGCTGTGCAATGGCACGGCGATGGCGCTCCATGAACTACCAGTCCGAGCCCGTGACATGGGCCGTGATGATGATCGCATCGGGCCGTATGACTTGGCCGACATCAAGCAGGGCATTCGCAACCTTCCGAACTTCAAGGGAGGCCCTACCTTGCAGTGGTTCCCATTGGCTCCTCCTACTGGTGCGGTTGCAGAGACTTGGAAGCTTGCCTTAGAGAGCGTCAGCCCGCCCCTACTCCAGATCTTTCAATGCAGTCAAGCGTTGGGCTCCGCACCCCAGCGGTTCAAGGATGGCGAGACTGCACACCTGCGCAAGCCGAAAGGCGATGGGAAGTCTGCCATGAACGACTACCGCACCATCAGCCTCATCAACCACATAGGCAAGGTCTTCGCGCGGGTCACCGCCCTCGACGCCATGCGCGATATCTCCCACAGGATCTCCCCGACCCAGTTCGGCGCCATGCCTGGCCGTGGCACCCGGGACGCAATTTCGGTTGCGATGGAGGTCATCACCCGTCACCAGCATGCCCATCGAGTTCGAGTACGCGGACGAGCCACGGTTCCTCCTCCTATGCTGCTGGTTATTCTTACTGACTTGGAGAAGGCCTTCGACATCATCGCACGGCAGTCCATCTGGGACAGCCTGGAGTCTCTCCAACTACGGCCTGATGCACGTGAGACGCTGGAGGAGCTCCATGACGGCATGTGCTACCTCTATCGTGATGTGCGCACTCGCCTACCCTGCTCTCGCATTCATGTTCAGCGCGGCGTCCGCCAGGGAGGAGTGGAAAGCCCTGGTCTCTTTGTTGCTGCTTATGATAAGCTAGTTGCCGAGGTGGCAGAACGTCAGCGCGAGAATGAGTTTCCAGGGATCTTCGTTTACTTTGACCCCAGCCTCAAGAAGATCCGCACCTCGGACCCGCTGCTGAATGACTCCTGCGAGTGCCTGGACGTTACCCACCTCAAGTTCTTAGACGACCTGCTGACGTTTGGAGAGGTAAACCACTTTGACGAGGCGTCCCAGCTGCTTGACTTAGTGAACGGCGAGATTTCCTTCGGTGGCAGGAAGGTCAACGCGAACAAGACTGAGCTTCTCCTCATCCCCAGCGGCACGGGCAGCAAGAGACGCCAGAAGTCCATCAACTCACACTCCACGGGCATCGTGACCTGGCAGGATGACGAGGCCCTCGCCGTGCACCCGCAGCCGACGGTCAAGTACTTAGGCGTTCGCATGGCCGCATCAGGCAGCTACCAGACTGAGATTACCCACCGGCTCCAGAGCGCCAACCAAGCCCATTCACGACTCCTCCGACGTGCTTTCAAGGGGGGTTCAGCCCGAAGATGAGGATGCGCTTGTGGAAGGCGTTGGTTCGTTCAGTTGGCCTGTATGCGTTGGAAGTCGCTGTGATGTCCAAGCGCGAGCTCCTCCGCTTGGAATCCTGGCAAGTTCGGAAACTCCGAGGGCTTCTCCACTCCCCTGCCCACATCAACAAGCTCACCAACCGCGAGATCAGGAGGAAGGCCCGTGTCCCGACAGTGGAGAGCACACTACAGCATCGACGACTTAAATGGTGGCGACGAGTCCTTTGGCCAGTCTTCCGTGGGCCCACACCTGACCTCTATGACGCCACGCTGGCGGTCCGCGCCGTCATCTTCGGCCGCTTTTCTTTCGAGCCTCCTGGCCCGCGTGAGCCCCGCGGCCTCCTTGCCGTGCTGAAGGTCGACTTGCGCCAGCTCTGGAACACTGTGGAGGCGCGCGAGCAGCTGGAGGCCCGCCGCCTCTTCCTTCTTCACGGTGACCTACCTGACCTTGCTGAGCCGTGGCTTCGCTGGCTTGCCTCCTGTGAGCAGCGCTGTTTTCGTCGTGTTCTCACCTTTGGCGAGGTCGCAGCTGGCGAACCTGTTGCTGTTGTCTGGATTCAGTGCGATGTGTGCGGACAAAATTGCAATGGAGAGAAGGGCCTCGCCAATCACAAACATGCTGCACACAACACCTATGCGAATCCCACGGCCAACTTTCTTTCGGACGTCGATCTTCAACAGAAGCGTTGCTCACACTGTGCGAAACAATTCACTCGCAAGGGCACGTTGGTCCGCCATGTCAAACTTGGCCGTTGCCCCGTCCTCGCTGGCGTTCAGGCTCAAGCAGATTCTCAACCTGAGCTTGCGGCATCTCCTCCTGTGCCTGCCAGTTATGTTCCAGCCGATCGCGGAGGTGCAGGTGGCAGCCAGCCAGAAGCGCGCGGCGGCCCCGAACTCGGAGGACAAGGGCGAGGGCAACGACATCGCGGGCCCGCTGGCCAAGGCACTCGCCAGGCTCGCCCTCCAGCACGAGGACCTCGCTCGAGCAGGTCGCCGAGACGACAACTTCGCGATGGTTCTCAAGCCTCAGTGCGCTCTGGCGAACGCGCTGGAGCAGGCCATCACGACGTACGAGGACGAGGGTCGCAAGGCCAAGGAGAAGGCGAGCGAGCAGGGTAACCCGTTCTTGGGCAACCCGCTGGGCAAGCGGCCCGACGCGCTGGCCCGCGCCGTGGTCTTTCGCATCATGGAGGCGGTGCTCCTCAAGAGGCAGCAGGTGACGGAGGCCGTGTCGCAAGGGGCCGAACCCGAGGCAGCGCGGGCAGCGCTGGAGGTGCTGCTGCAGATGGGCAAGCTGGCACAGAACACCGAGGCGAAATTCGTGGCCACTCGCTGCTTTCGGATCCAGGCCAGCCGCAACGAGGGCGACAGCAACGAGGAGGGCGAGACCAGGTGGATCTTCGCGGTGAATCACTACCCAGGGTTCAAGGCAGCGCTCAACACGCTGCGGACCAACGGAGCCTTGGCCGCCGCGGGTATCGTTCTCCAGTTCGACATCGCGACGAGGTCCAAGGCAGCCAAACTGGTAGAGACCCTGGCGTTCCGCTCGGGCAGTGGCTCCGCCAGCAGCGGCAAGAAGAAACAGAAACGCAAGTGAGAACAGGAGCAGCCAGGCCAGTCGAGGCTCGGGTACCCTGCCTTGCTCTCTTCCCTCGTCCTCCTCCGACGACGGCGGCGTCTCGTCCCCTCTCTCGCCCCTCGTCTGGTCAGAGGACTCTCACGAGCTTTTTCAGGTTGCAGCCCAGGGATCCCGCTCAGTAAACTTTTTTCGAGCCTGGATTCCTGTGGCCAGTTTTGGGGCCTCGCTTCTGTGGGGGTGCGCCTCTCTCCACCAGAGGGAGGGGGGAGCCGCCTTCACTGTGCCTCCCCTGCAGAGGCAGGGGAGCGTGAGGCGCGGGGCAACGGCCCAGCGGCCACCGCCCACGCGTTTTCCGTCGGTTTTGTGTCTCAGGGCTCCTCCGATCTTATCGGTAGCGCCGCGTTTCTTGCGGTAGGTTTCTTCCAGATTGCCCTCGCAAAACTTCCTTGGGAATGGGAGTAGCGTTCAAAAAGGAAGGCCAGCGGAAGGTGGCGGAAGTAAAACGAGGCCGCCTCCCACGTCGGAAGCCGGCGGAAGGCCGACGAGGCCAGAGGAGGCAAAAGTCGACCTCCGCTCCGAGGCAAGCTCAGGCACTGCTTCTGGGTCGCCGCTGGCTGGCGGAAGCCGGAGATTACATTTTCTTGTGTGCGGGGTTTCCGGACTCCGCCACACGTGCAGTCCCCAGTCGGCTTCGCTAATCGACGTGTGTTTTGCCGGGTACACTCGGTTATGTCTGGACGTGGATTTGCTGTCCCGGCTGGGTATACACTCGGAATTCGCCGTGCGCGCTTGGAGTGCCCCTGGAAGTTTTCACCAAAGGGTGTTTGGCTGAAAGGTGTGTTTCCACGATCCTCGAACCTCAGCAACGCCGAACCGATCCCCGTCCCCACTGGGCCGTGGTGCCTCGGCCCCACCAGCCCACCCCCGCCGCAGGTGGGAGCACGCCCCGCGAAGCCCAAAGGGAGCCGCCCAGTGGGCGCCCCAGAGGAGTGCAAGTGCCTGCGGCGGGTCTGCCAGTGGAAGCTGGCGAAAGCAAGCGTGGGATGTCACCATTCAGGGGCAACGCCAGGGGGGGGGGGGGATGGGCATCCTGCGGGGTGGGGGGGGTGCGTCGAGCCACGATCGCCCATGGATCGCCGATCGGGGCCCGAGAATGGGCCCCAGCCTGCTCGGGAGCGCGCGGATTCGCGACGGGGGGCCTGTCGCCGATCGATCGGCGACACATCGCCGATTCCAGGTCGACGTGCTCCCGGAGATCCTCCGCTGTCTGTCTTCGGCCCGCGGCCCCAGAGCTCCCGACCCTTTCTTTGGGGCCGGTCTGGATTGCCCCGCGTGGCCATCCTCGAGGAAACGCAGCGGGGCCGACACGAGCATGTCGTCGGAGGTCGGGGTGCGTGTGGCCGCCCCCCGCGAGGAACACGGCGCTGGGCGTCCCGGGCGTGCTCTGCATCCAGGCCGCCGCGTGCCTGCTGGGAGCCGCTGCGTCGCAGGCCCTGCTGCGGCACGACTGGGAGTACGCCGACGCCGCGGGCCGCAGGGATCAGGAGCGCAAACGGGGCGTCCACACTGGAACTCGAACTCAATGCAGGGAAGTGGGAAGGGACGGGAAGGGCTGGGGGGACCATCCTTCGGCCCGAGAGCGCACGCATCGTCCATCTTGCACGCGAACACCAGGTCCGTGTCGCCCTTCCCTGAAAGAAGGAGTGGACACTGCCCGCACTCCAACCTGGGGACATCGACTTTCGGTCTTCCTGTCGCAGGGCGCGTTGCAGCTGCTGCACCTCGCCGATGGCGTTCCTCGGGTGCCCGAGTCGGTCCGAACGGCCGCGCTTGCATGGCGCCGTTGTGCATCTTGGCGCAGCCGATCCCGTCCGGTTCCGACTCCGTGCCGATGCGGCCCGGCCCGACGCACATTCCGATCCCATCTGATTTTCCGATTCGGTCGGCTTGATCGTGCAGCACCTTGCTCAGAGGAGAGCGTCAGAGCGATGTCTTGGGATGCTTATCCTGGGATGTTTCATTCAGCATCGGCGCTGGTTCATCCGTGATCGGAAGCCAGCCAAAGCCAGCGTAGACGCGTACAATTTGGTTAAAATCCGTTGGATGCGGCTGAATCCCCGTTTTAATGTTGGGCTTGATATGCGATAATCTGGTTTCGTGGCTCGTGGCCCCCTCAATGGGTTCGATAGCCTTTGATCGTTCTCGTTCTTACGATGACCTCTCAGGTGTTGCCTTCTAAAATCTCGGTATCCTTTCTCGTGTTCGCCCAGGGTGGGGGCGTTGGTTGAGGAATGTGTCCAGGAGACAACAGACCCCACCGGATCCCTTATCCTATGAGGGGTGGCGGTGATATCCATGGCCAAACCTCAGTTGAAGTTCTACCAGCATCCAGACCCTAAATTCCTCATCCATTAGTTCCTTATTCTCGGCATCGCTCGGACGTGTGCAGCTCTTCTAGGCGAGGACCATCGAGGATTATCCCGGACCACCTGGCAACAGAAACACGCACGAAATCGAACAAGGCACGGCGAATGGACGTCCGAGCGATGAAGGCGGCGGTGATGTGGATGGCCAAGCCTCCGTTGGAGTTCCACCAGCTTCCCGACCCTGGATGCCTTCTCAGTCGGTCCCCTCTCCTTGGCATCCGTCACCGTAAGACATCGACGCCCCTCCTCGTGCTCGCGTGCTTGGCCCTCCCGAGGGGGGGGGGGGCCTCGTTGCCGAGGCTGGATATCCGCCTCTCGCACTCTCCTGGCCGGAGCGAACACCCCCTGGGAGAGGGGCCCGTGGAGCAGCGACGAGGCTGGCCAGAGCGCTGCGGCCGAACAGCGGGGAGCAGAGAATGCCGCAAGCAGAGACTGTCGGAGGTCTGCGAGGACTTCTCGGATCGGCGCTGGACCCCCGAGGAGGAGGAGGAGGAGGAGGAGGAGGAGGAGGAGGAGGAGGAGGAGCTCCCTGGCCTGCGGACTCCGCAGTGCGGAGCGCGCCGAGTCTGGATATGCGCCTCGGCCCGTCCTGGCCGGAGCGAGGCCCCCGGGAGAGGTCCGTGCGGGAGCACGCGGGGAGCACTGGGGGAGGAGGAGGAGGAGGAGGAGGAGGAGGAGGAGGAGGAGGAGGAGGAGGAGGAGTAGAAGGAGGGGGGAGGAGGAGGAGGAGGAGGAGGAGGAGGAGGAGGAGGAATAGAAGGAGGGGGAGGGGGAGGGGGAGGGGGACGAGGAGGAGGAGGAAGAGGAGGAGGAGGAGGAGGAGGAGGAGGAAGAGGAGGAGGAGGAGGAGGAGGAGGAGGAGGAGGAGAGGGGCGGAAGCGAGAGGGAGAAGTTCTCCTCGGAAGGCGGCGGTTCTCCTCGGAAGCCCTCGCGCCTGCTGAGAAGCCTGGCGCTGCTTCGGGGAAGGCCTCGAGAACTTCTCAGAGAGGGCCGGGTGACTCCCGAGCCCTCCGAGAAGGCCCGCCCGTTTTCATTTCACCCCGAGGCGCGCCGCCGAAATAATTCCACTGGCATATAAACTTTCGGAGGTTTGCAAGGATTTCTCGGATCGGCGCTGGAGCCCCCACCGGCGCCGCCCCCGGCGTGCTCCGCGCGCCAGGGAGGGGGTTCCAGCGCAGACCCGAGATGTCCGCGCGGGCCTCCGAAAGTTCATGTTTATGCCGTGCTTTGTTCCTCTATTAATTGTCCCTGGGTGCGTGGTTGCTTTAGTGTTCCGCGGTGCGGATTGTCCTTGTCGTTCTTGTCGTTCTTTTTGTCGTCATCTCCCCTCTACCCACACGCGCCGCGACCCACCCGTGCCCCCTCACTCTTATCCGCGATTGCGCGGGTCTGGATATTCCCTCCATCTACACGGGATCTGCGGAGGGTCTACTCTGTCCGGACACTGAGATTCCTCGGTGCCGAGATGGCCTCGGGATAGTTTCGGATAGCCTTGGACAGTCGTGGAATGGCCTCGGACAACCTCAGGCGGCTTGGGATATGGCGTTGACGGCACACCCAGGAGGGGCCCGAGGGGTCCCGACCCAACCTTTTCCCTGGGGGTGGTTCCTCGCCAGGGACCCATGTTCGATGGCCCCCAGCGCCCGATTACGGGCCCCACAAGTCCGACGTCGAGAAACAAATAAGACGTGTTTGAAGCAATTACGGTCAGGCCGAGGTATCAGATCGAAGTCGGTTTGGGGAGAATGTACTAATGCTCTTCGTGACTGTTTGATGTTCTCGTACATCCTAGGGAAGGGTAATGGTCCTCTAATGATCTGATGGTTTGGTGTGTTTTGGCCGGCAGAGGGTCTCATTTCCTTGAAGGATGTTCTTCTGTCCCAGGTTCGGCTTTTTGTGTCTCGAGCGGCCCCGAACCCGAGAGCGCGAGGCGGGATATAGGCACGGAGCACCAGGAGACCCCCGGGGGTCTCCTGGGCCCTCGGGGTTACAGGCGTCCGCGGTATATGCAGTGGTCGTACGTCGAAGAGGCGAGGCGGGAAGTCCGGGTAGGCGGCCGCGGCACGGTCGCACCGAGGCATGAGATCGAGGTCGCTTCGGGGAGGGCACCCTCGGACGCTCTTCGTGCCTGTTGGATGCTCTTGTGCATCCTTGGGAGGGCACCCTCGCTCGGATGTCCTGCGTGTTGGCCGGCGGATGGCCTCGCGTTCTTGAAGGGTGCTCCTCCGTCCCAGGCTGCTGCGGGCGAGGCGGGTCGGGGGTCGCGTTCCCGGGGTTTCGCCGCGTCGCCGCCCGTGGCCGCCTCGTGACCGCCTAGCTGGTGCCCACTCGGCGGGTTCGCCGTGGGCATACCCTGCACCACACTGCTTCACCACACTGTTTGCACCACGCAGCTTGCACCACGCAGCTTGCACCACCCAGCTTGCACCACCCAGCTTGCACATCCACAGTGCAATCATGTACCGCTCGAGGTTTGTGTTGGCAAACATTTGTAAATCGGCCCCACCCTGCCGGGCGGGGAGAAAGCACGGGATTCGTGTGATTGTGCCGTCGGTGATTTGGGTCGACGGACTCTTCCCCAAGAAGCGGCTTGTCTGGTGATGGAGCCTGCCCAGACATCCAGTGCTCCAATTGTTTCGATGCGTGGCCTCCAGAGGCCTGGACCACTTCCCTGGGGTCAGTGTTTCATCTTGAGTCGCTTTTTGACTGTCCTGGGGCCCGTTGATCAAGCAGTGGCGAAGCGTGCTGGCTTGCCTATAGGCCCACCAAAGAATATTCTAAGAAACTTGTTGTAGTTCGCACGACATGTCCTTAGAACATTGCTGGCTGACACCTTTTTTTTAATGCAGCGGTTTCATGTTCTAAGAGCATGGTTTCCCCAATCAGTGCTTGCACTGAAGGGGTCCTAGCGGAGATTGAAAGATTTGGCGAATGTTCGGGGCCGATTTCGGTAGGCGGCCGGGGGGGTCCGGGTTCCGAAGTTCCGGGTTCCCAGGTCCCGGCGGTCGATTCCAGACCGATTTCGGTGGGCGGCGGGGTTTCCGCGTTCCCGGGTTTTTGATCGATCTTCTTGTCGATCGGTCTGACCATCGATCTCATTACCCATTTCATTATTGATCTCACATTCGACCCCCTTTATAGATCGCACGAGCGATTTCACGATCGATCTCACTATCGACCTCACTGAACCGACTTCTCGATCGGTCTCACGATCGACCTTACTGTCGCCCTTACTATCGATCCCACTACTGGTCTTACTACCAGTCTCACAACCGATCTCAATATCCAGATCACGAGCTTTAGAACTATCCGCTGATTGTTTTTTCTCTGGTGCAATTTCTGCTCGTAGAACATTCGTTTGTTCTGACAAGTCGTGGTAGGCCTATAGGAATGCCGGGTCGGTCGGTCCTTGCTCAACTTTGAGGTGTCCCCAGATGCCGAAAACAACCAAAAACCCGGGTGCTCCAATTTTTGTCGGAGCCTTGGATCTCTGGGCGGGGCCGTTCGAACCGACCTCCGATGCGCCGCCTCGGCGATGCCTCGCCGATGCATCGCCGATGCGGCGCATGGCCGATGCGGCGCCAATTCAGCCTCGCGCAGAGGGGAGTAGAGTGTCTGGGGGAAAGCTTCTTAGGAGCACCCTGGTTCTTAGAAGGCGCGGGGGCTTTAACATTTATAACTAGACAAGGCCGGCGCCTTCTAAGAAGCAGCCCCAGTCTAAGAAGCCTTCGCCCCTTCCTCTATCCGATTCTGCGCGCCGCCAGCCACTGATCTCCACCCCGACGTCGTCGATGCATCGCGGCGATGCATCTGCGATGCGGCGCTATCGTCCGACCCTATCTACGGTCGGACCGAGGTATCAGATCGAGGTCTGTTTGGGGAGGGTGCCCTGGTGTTCTCCGTGTTTGTGGGATGATCTTGTCAATCCTTGGGGAGGGTACCCTCGCATGTTCTGCAGCTTGGAAGGCGGGAAGCCTCATGTCCTTGAGCGACGTCCTTCTGTCCTAGGTCCAGCCGCGCTCCAACCCCAGTTCGTTGGGCCACGCGTAAGGGGGGGGGGGCGATACATGGGGCGGGCAGCGAGGGCTGCAAGAAGGGGCCCTTCAGGGTCCTGAGGGGGCCCTTTCCCCCAAAGTGCACCTCTCTCCCTTTCCCAGATATTTCGCCCCCCGACACTTCGCGCCCAAGTTGGGAGGCCTCTCCAGGAGCGGCTTGCCGGGTGATGGCACCCTGCGGCCACCCGAGCCGACCTCTGGCGCGCCGCGGCCCGCGCGGGGAAGGGCGGGCGGGGCGGAGGCCGCGCGACCGCCGGGCACGGCATGGGCCCGGGTGGGGCAGCAGGGAGGAGGCCGTCGTTGTACCCCCTCTGGCGATCGTACCGCGGGGGCACGGGTGGGGGGGCGAGCGAGCGAAGATCGGGGCTCAAGAGACGGGGGTCCATGCAATCGGGGGTCAGCCGGAGCGCGGGATCTCGCAAGAGTCTGCAGGGCCAGGGGCGCTTTTGTCCCAGGCTTGGGTGCAGGATCTTGCAGGATCCTGCAAAGCCCGACTGACCCGGGGTCTGGATTGACCCGGGTCAGTAGATCTCCGAAGGCCGTTGTTTGATCCCTTGGCGATGACGGGCGTGACCAGGAGGGGAGGGGCGATGTCAGCGTCTGTTCACAGGACTGCCGTTCTCCATTTCTGGCTCATTTGGGGGCCTGGTGGGGACGGGCCAGCTTATGCGCCCCCAGCATCTAGGCCTCCCAGATGGGGTCGGAGTAGATGGGGTTGGAGGATCGCGCCGAATCGCCGATGCATCGGCGATGCGGCTCGATGTGGAGTCCGAGTTCATCCACGCCGACGTGGCCGATGCATTGCCGACGTCGCCAGTGCATGGCCGATGCATCGGCGATGCGGCGCGACCCTCCGACCCCATTTACTCTGATCCCATCCAGGAGGCTTCTACACTCTGCGCAGGCTGGCCCCGATGGTGGAGCCGCGGTCCCCAATCCAGATGCAGATTGATGCGGCTTTCGGCCCACAGGGCCACTCGCAGGTGCTTCAATGCGTGGGGGGGAAGAAGGACGGAGGGGCCAGGCACGCCGCGAGTCGCGCCGGCGCCGTGCGCGAGCACCTAAGGCGCGGATCGTGATTTCACCAGGGTCGGGGGGCCAAGAGGGGGGCTGATGACTAGTGGGGGGGGGGCTATCATAGCGGGGGCCATGATATCTCCCCAGACTCCATTGCGCCTCTTCTTAATTTCAATGCGTCCCTGGCCCCCTCTGCCTGGGCCGCGTGCGTACCGACGGCCATGATTTGCGCCCCCCACTCTTGAGCGCCCCCCCCCCTTGGACACCCCCGGGTGGCCAGGGGGGAGCGGAAGCCGCGCGACCCCGCTGGGCACGCGGGGTTGGCCAGGGGGGGCATATGGAGCTGCGGTGCGAGCGAGATTCGGGGAAGCGCAGGACTCGAGTACGTCGGATCTCGGGTTATTTCAGACGCTTTTGGACGAGCGCGTCCTGGAGTTCGAGCCCCATCTTGATATTCTCGTCGAGCCCATGAGAAACATACGTAGAGTAGTCAGTCGAACTACAGAGCTCTCTGCGCAGTTGTCGTAGATTAGACGGGAAATCAATGTTTGGGCAACTCGATTTTGCACTCGATCCCCTACTCGAGGAATTTGACGGTCCAGTTGTCGTGGGACATCTGCAGCGGGAGCTCGCGTCAAATTTCCGACAGGGTCTCGTCATTTTCATGTTGGCTCCGTCAGGCCAGCCCGAGTCCCCCGAATCCGAGTCTTACGTCTCCTCGGACAATTGGTATAGACAGAATGGTCGAAGCTCCGCGCGGATTTCTCCGATCGGCGCTGGAGCCCCCTGGCGGCGCATTCGGCGTCGCCCTTGGCGCGCGCCGGCGCCGGTCCAAAAACTCCGCGCGGACCTCCGAACGTTTTTGTTTAGGTCATTCTCTGTTCCTCTAAACGGTTCCTCTAAATGCGCACAAAGACCGACAGCAATCCATTCCCATTTTGAGCAGGTCTCGCTTTCGGTGTCGCCGCGGACGTTGTACATATGTGACTGGAGGCCGCCTGGCCAATAGCGGTCGTTGTCGGTTTTAGACGATATCTGCTTTTGGGTAGCGTAACTATTTGTTTCGTAACCGAGTGCCCCCGATAGTAAATCATACCCCCTGTTTTTCCCCCTGAGTATATATTATCCCGTGTCACTAGGATTTCATTGTGGAGAGGGGCGCGGAGGCCGAACTTGATAAGAAACTGGTTGTCACATGTTGGCCATCAACAGCATCAAACACGCTGAGCATGGCAATGGTGGTGTCACCATTTCAGCTTCCGCAATCACGAGCGTGTGGCAGGGCGATGGGACTCACCTGTTCAGTTTTCCCAAGTCACGAACGTGCGGCAGGGCCATGGGATTCTGACTTACTCAGCTGCTCCCGAGTCAGGAACGTGTGGCAGGGCCATGGTGACCGATTTAATTTTGAAGTTGCATGCGTTTTTCGAGCAGGCAGAGCGGTGGAGTTACTTCTGTAGCGGATCCTTCACACGGTTCGTGGCCCCTCTTCCTCCTCCTCCGCCTCTTCCTCCTCCCTCCCCCGCAACTGCCCGAGCTCGAGCTTCCCCGAATCTCCGAGACTCTAAGCATTCGAGCCTCTTCGAGGCACCGAGCCTCCTCGCCCAAGGGGCAACGATAGGAGGGTATAGGCAGAAGGGGATACATCGATCCCCAATCGCCTGCGATCGCAGAGAGTGCGTGGTTCGATATCCTGAACCTGCCCAGGAACGCGCGTATTCACGATCGGGCGCCCATCGCCGACGCATCGGCGATGTATCGCCGATTCCAGGTCGATGCTCCTCCCTCCCAATGCCTATCCCCCCCACATCGTTGCCCCTCAGTGTGTCGCGAGCTTCGCAGATGGCTCGCCCTGCCGAGCGCGCCCAGGCGCTGACCCAGCAGGTCGAGGCCCTGAAGAATGTCGCGACGCTGAGCGCGGGCCCGAGATCGAACGACATCTTCGAGCGCATGGCCAAGCATAACGAGAATATCTTCGACGAGCGGGCCTTCATCGCGGATAAGATCGCTATTGCCGAGATGCGCCAATGCCCATCGAGCGTGCAAGGCGCTGGCGCAGCAAGAATGACTGCCTGCTTTTTCAAGGTGGACAGCGCCTGGCGGTCGGCGAGCGCCCGGCAAGCCGCCCTCGAGATGGCCTACAAACGCGGTTCTCTCAAGAGCGTCGAGCACGGGCACGATTCCAACGAGAAGGACAACAGGCGCGTCGAGCTGGTGGTGGCGCTGTTCTACAAGATCTATTGCGAGAAAGCCAAGTTCCTCTTCGACATCTTCGAAAATCACGGAGAGCCGCCCGAGAGCCTCTTCTGGCTCATGCCGAGTTTCAAGTCGAGGATGCTCGAGCTTACCACGAAGACGGACATCGAGTCGGCCCCGAGGGCGGCCAGCGCCTCACCTTCGGATCCTACGCCGCGCGCGTCGGCAAGGCCCTCCCCGAGATCCCCATCCCAGCTCCTCAAGCTCCACGACCTCGTGCTGCCGATGTAGAAGAGCTTCGAGCCCGTCGAGAAGATGCCCAGGGAGTTCTCCTCGGGCGCGCCAAGTGATCATCTCTTCGAGCTGAACCTTCACGAGGCCAAGTCCTTGATGAATTGGTGCCGCGACAACAACTCGCTCGAGAGGAAGCGCCGCGCGCCTGCCGCCGCGCGAGCGGGCGCCGAGGGGCGCTGGGGCCTCGAGCGCACTGCCGACATGGCCCACGAGCTCCAGCGCGACAAGTGCATGGACGAGGCCCCTGAGCATGTCTGCGCAGAGACCGAGAGGCAGCTCCGCTTGGAGACGCTGGCCCTCGACCAGCACATCGAGATGCATTTCCGAGACGTCGGCAAGATCCACGACGACCGCGCCAAGGTGCCCAGCCAGCGCAGGCCCGAGGAAGGCGAGGCCGACGCGAAGGCCGAGCTGGAGGCCGACAAGTCGTCGCCGAAGGGCGCCTGAGAGCCGAGCGGCGGCGAGCGGCGAGCGCCCGGCGCGCGGGCCAAGCGTTTTCATTCTTATCGCCGCGAGGGTGCCGCGCCATCGCCTCGAGGCGCGCGCTCGAGCCCCATATGTTGTCAAGCTCTACGCGAACGTTCGAGCATGCGCGAGTGGCGTTCCAAAGCGCGGGGCACAACTCCCCCCTCTCGCCGAGTGATCCTCGATCAATCATGAAGTAATCGCGCAGGCTCGGCCGCCCGCCCTCGGATCGAATGCCCGAGATCTTGGGCCCGAGCATCTTCCAGCGCCTTGGGCCCAGATCCGAGGATCGCCAAGCTTGGATTCGACGATCTCGGGTTCGCGATCCGAGGGTCGCGGATCGAGCCTCGACGATCATCGATCGCCCCCGTCGCCGTCGTCAGGCCCGGACCGCCATCAAGGAGGCCCGATCCTCGGATCGAGGATCCGAGATCTTGGTTCCGAGCATCGTCGAGTGCCTTGGATCCTAGATCCGCGGATCGTCACGCTTGGATTCGAAGGCATCGGGTTCGCGATCCGAGGATCGAGGGCCGAGCCCCGGCGATCTCCCTCGTCGCCGCCCGCGGGCCCAGACTGCCATTGAGCGCGCTCGATCTTCGATCCTCGGACCGAGAGCCCGAGATCTTGGCGCATTAGGTCCTGCGCCCGAGCGTCGCCGCGCTTGGATTCGAAGATCTCGGGTTCGCGATCCGAGGATCGAGGGTCGAGACTCTGCGATCGGCGATCGCCCCCTCGGGCCCGCGCCGCCATCGAGGAGGCTCGATTCTCGATCCTCGGATCGAGGGCCCCAGGTCTTGGTTCCGAGTATCTTCGAGCGTCTTGGGCCCTAGATCCGAGGATCGCCACGCTTGGTCTCGAAGATCTCGGCTGCCATCAAGCAAGCTCGACCCTCGAACCTCGGATCTAGTGTCCGAGATCTTGGCCATGAGCATCTGCGAGCACCTCGGATCCTAGATCCGAGGATCGCCAAGCTTGGACTCGAGGCCCCATGGGTCCTCGATCCGAGGATCGAGGGTCGAGCCTCGAAGCCCAGCGGCCGCGCGCGCACGCGCGCGCACGCGCGCGCACAATCGCAAAAACACACGCACACGCGCACACACACATACACACTCTCTCTCTCTCTCTCTCTCTTTCTCTCTCTCTCTCTCTCTCTCTCTCTCTCTCTCTCTCTCTCATACACACAAACAATACACGCTCGCGCGCACACGCGCACGCGCGCGCACACGCACACTCAAACACGCGCACGCACACCCACACACACAAC